GCTAGGTCATCGCTGAAAAGTGACCCCGAAAGCGAAATGGCCCGCAGCGAAATGCCTAATTGTGTTGTTGATTTTAATTAAGCGACCTGAGCAGAGGCGAAGCTCATTAGTCAGGCGTTGGAAATCGTTAGTGGCCAGCAGCTGGGGCTAAGGCTAAGGCAGCTGCAAGTTGCAGTTGCAACTTCAGTGAAATCAGAACGCTTCTCTAGCAAACTTGACCCCAAGAAAAAGAGAAATTTGTGGCAAGCGAAAAAAAAGAGGCTTGAAATAAAATCAGCTCACGATCTTCCACAGTTGCTGGCTGCTGGTGGGTCAGCATCCACATATGGCCGGCGTTGCATGCTGCAGGCGAGTGGTGGCATGCTGCACACGGTAGCCAGCATCATCAAGATTTGTCACAAATCAAGGCGGGCAGGCAACTAATCCAGTTCAAGTGTTGCAGCGAAAATGGCAAATTGCGTTGGACGTTAGTTCTGCTTCTGGTTGTTTCTACTTACTGCATGTTGCTGATGCTGATGCTGTTGCTGGAGCGTTGGCGTTGCACATAGCTCTTCCCGAGGAGGCAACAGATCGTGCTGGGCAGCTTCCGCATGCCGACAAGTGACTCACTTTGGATTCTTTTTTTTTCTGCCCATTCTTCTCTATTTCTTTTTCGGAGGGTCTTTGTTTGGTCAAACACCGAATCACCGTTATGTTTGCAGATCGTGAGCAGCTTTATTAATTTCAAGTTGGTGCCGAAAATGCCACAAGGTCGCTGCACAGCGAGGTCGGCCACAAAACGGCCCGAGGGCTTCAATAATTTGCATCTAATGGCCCCAGAACCGAGTCCTCCAACCCATTTCTAACACTTGCCGCTCAAATTATGGCACCCAATCTCCGCAAGGTCGTACATTTCTTACAAATTGACGGTAATCCCGAGTTCAAGCCACAGCAGCAATTTCCTCGGCCAATTGGCCACAACTATGCGCCCATAGTTGCCACACGTGCAACGTGCAGATTTATGAGGATGACGTGCAACAACCAACAGAATAGAATCCAAATCGGAATCCGGGAGAAATAAAAATAAAACAACGAACAACAAAAAAAAAAAAAATGCAATTTGCAATTGCTGCTGTTGCTGTTGCTGCTGCCGATGGACCGTTAAATGTGTGGCACAAAACCAAATTAACGCCAAGCAACATAGCAACACTGCAACATGGCAGTACTGCGGCAACAGAAATTGCAATAGCTATCCCCAATCCCAATTCCAATCGAAGAAGTTTAATGCAAGATAAGCAATAAAAAAAAGAAAAAGAAAAATCGGTGGATGAAAGAGGGACGCACGATATATCCCCAGATGGACGCACGATGTTGGGGTCAAACCTGCAGCATTCTGACGGCTCTTCGGGAATGGGTTAGCTTGTGTGCTAAATGTCAATTTGATACCCGAGCTGAATCCAATTAAAGTTGCAACCAGCAACCAGAAACATTGAAAATTGCAAATTGCCATCGATCTCTGGCAGCGATCTCTTGTCGGCAGCAATGGGTCGTCGTTAGATGCGTGCCCCAAAGTGTATTTGTGGGTCATGTGGCACAAATCTACCTTCGTAGCGAGCCAGCAACACGACAGCCGACACAAGATAGCTCTCTGACAAGAGACACCTTTTGATATGCTAACGAAGGCACAACCCACTCCACCCCTTCGCCTTCGTTCAAGACTGTCAAAATGCTGCCCATGATTCTATAGACTGGGAAATTTTCCCACCCTCCATTGAGGCCGCCGCCGACGATCGTCTGCCTTGGTAAAATGTAAATTTTTGTTGTTGCCCGATCCGAGCCAAGGTGGCTGCCATTTATATTAGAGCTGATGCTGCTATGTTGCAGCTTTTGCAGCTGCAATTTGTGCAACTGGGAGATGAGAAATGGGGAACGAGAGCTTGCAACTGGGAACTGGGAACTGCCAACTGGGGATCTCCAGCTACAGCTGCACGCATGTACCTACATTGTATCCCCCAGATATAGTATCCCCCAGATACTCTAGCTGTCCAGTGTCCAGTTTCCAGAGTCTAACCTCTCGTGGGCAGTTCTATGCAAATACTGCAACTACTTCACGCATGAGCCGTTGCTACTCCTCCTGAACCTGAACCTGAATACATTTTTCATAAAGATGCATTGCCTTGCCCTTGTGCCAGTTGCAAGTAGCAAGTAGCAAGATGCCTGTTGCAAGTTGCTGGTTGCTTTTCTTTTTGTTTATTTACTTACCCCCTTAAAATCTTGCAAATTTCCCATGACCGATTTTTCACCGGTCCCGCCTTTATGCCATGTTTGTTTTAACAAGCGCCTGCCTCGTTTTGGTTTTTTGGTAAAACAAAAAAAAAAAAAAGAGTTTTCATCTCTCTGGAGTTTTTGTTTTTCCTTTTTTTGGCCACTTCATTCACAAATTGAATGTGTGTCATGGAGATGCCAGGCTGGAGACTCTGGCAGCTGGCTTCTGGTGGCTGGTGGCTGGTGGCTGGTCGCTTCTGGTGACCACCCCTTTATTTGGTCTTAACCCAAATACTGAAATGCTGAAGAATAAAAATTGTTTACCATTTAGCCAAGACAACAACAAAAACAAGAATAGCAACAACATATGGCAGAATAATTACCGCAACAAGTTGCTGCTAGCTTGCCAGCCGTTGCTAGTTGCCAAGGAGCAACATGTTGCTCGTGTGTTGCTAATAGCATTGGAACAAGTGCCATTTTGGCCGGCAACTAATAGCCAGTTTGTGTCGCTTCCGTTGTCGGGTTGACTGACTAGCAGAATCATCATCATCATTATTATCATTGGCAACAGCAACAGCAATGCCATCGTCATCATCGCGACCGTGTAAGATTATCATTATTGTTATTGTCGCTCGTCATGTCAACTCGTCATCAACATGCCGCGTCTCTCCGGCTGTAGAATCAGCTATATCTTTACCAAACCAGCCACAGCAACAGATCCAGCAAAAGAAGCAACACCAACAACAACACTTACAGCAACAACATCAAAAGCAGCAGCATCTTTGCAATCTTTCAACTTGACCGAGGCGGCTTCGTGTGTTGCATACTCCTCGTTATTTTGTTGCTGTTGCCACGGCACGCAGCAAATGCTATTTGTGCTGCTCCCGGGTGCTGCTCCTGCCCCATTCTCCAGTCTCCATTCTCCTCTTTTCTCTACCCTCTCCCCACTACCCACTCCCCAAACTAGCCTGCATTTTAATGAGCACAATTCGCGCATTTATGATGAGGATGAGGCTGAGGCATCAGCTTCAGCTTCAGTTCGAGCCAAGCATTAGCCGATTTTTATTTGCTTGTTTCGTTAGCGAGCCAGGAAAGGCATATTCCCGCCCAAGGGGGAAAGTATAGAAGGCGGGGGGCGTAACCGAAACCACTCAGATTTCAAGAGAATTCCAGAAAGGGAAGCTGCCAGCTGAAGGCCCCACAAGTGGAATCCCCAGATGGTGGTACGCTTGTGACAAACTCTACGACAATGGGATGAATTTTTGAATTGCTAATAATAGATACTTATTATAGCTTTAAAGTAAAAAAGATTCTTATAGATACTCCTAAAATGGACAAGTTATAATAATTGGACTTCAGCCTTTATTAAAAACAATCTGAGCACATGTTCGAAAGTATTGAGTTCTTTTTAACAAAATCTCTCAAAAATCTATTGATAATCCGATAAATATAAAAATCCTCTGCTTATAGCAGATAAGGGAAATAAAGATTAAGTAGGCACCAAATTATAGGTAAAATCCCATCATTAATTTCCACACTTGCCAGCTTCCGGCCCATTGTGCTTAGGTTTAGGAAGTTTTATTGCTTTATGGAATGTACAAAATTGGATAACACACACCCAACAGCCACGCCTCCGCCGAATACAAGTCCATTTAAGCCGCCAACCCTCCGCCTTACGCAGTGCAGACCCTCAGAATCCCCGTGCCCGTATCCCGGGCACCGGAGTGCTCAATATCCACCCCTCCTTGAGGAGTACCTTGAGGAGAGCCACCCCTCGATGGATGGAATCACGTGTTGCATCTCCTGGGACTTGATTAAAGTAACATAAAGCAAATAAAAGCCGGAAAGGAAAAGTGGGCTAATAAATGAAAATATGAAGCGTATGTGACGTCAGTCTAGGCCATTATCCGGCGACAATAAACCCGGCTATATACGTTTATACGAATATAATCCTGTTGGGCAGTTGTCAGCCGATAAGCCGTGATATGTGGCGGTTGCCGCCTGCTAATTATATCACCAAACCGAACCAGAGTAGGTTTTGGGAGGAGGAGAAGTTGTCCAATTTCTGGAAGTTTACTTCTGCGTGCGCCTGACATTTTCAATCAGCGCCAGGGAACATGGCAGGAGAGACATTTTTTTGGGGCAGGATAAGAGAGTACACAGAGACATCCAGGGCCAAGGATTTCTGACCTCTGGCCCAAAAAGTTGAAAGAGGGATGGAGGGTGAAGGGACAGCGGGCATGTCAGGGAAAATTGCACATCTGTCAAATCGGCAAACAAGTGATTTCCGCAAACAATTGAAGAAAAACAGCCAGTCAGGCCAGACCGAAAACGAAACAGGACAGTCGAACAGGACACAGGACACGGGATACGAGATGGGTTTGCGTGTTTAGTGGTGGTGCGGTGGTACGGTGGTGGCTCACATGTCAACGCTACCACCGCCGCCACCCCTTACCCGCAATTTCTGCTGTTTGTGCACGTAAATTGCTTTTGTGAGACCATTGAAAATTTTCAAATACCACCCAAAAAAAAAGAAAAGAAAGAAAAAGGATGCTCAAATAAATTGAGACGCCTCGGTTTGGGGCAAGCATGAGCGGCATGCGCCTTGTCATGCTTTTTTAATGAAGTGCCTGTCGTTTAAGGAACATATTGCGGTGCGATTTGATTGTTGTTTAAGGGTTAAATGTTACCCACACCCCCTCATTTGTGATGGCTCCTTACTAAATCCAGATCTCTATTCTCTATTCATCCCACAGTTCCACAACAACAACAGCAAGATGACAAGGAGACGTTCGAGTCCGCCGGGACTCGAGGAGCTGCTTAGCCTGGCGCTCATCCTAGTGGCCATGGTCCTGATACCCACACAAGCCGGTAAGTGGTTTATTATGTCAACATAAATTACGTTTAGCCACATAAGAGTACTTACTCTCTACTCGTAATTCGGGCAATGCAGTACGTATATCCTCCCATCTGTACTGATTACTTTGCCATAAATAATGCCGAGTGCCGAAGCCTAATTAAAGCCATTGTAACTAATTGCCGTCAGATGGCAACAGCTGCCGTTTCCGAGACGCACTTGTCCAGGGTCATGGGTCAAGGGAAAAAGTCTGTTGCATTTTAGGCAACAGAATCGGAAACGAAACGAAAATCTAATTAAGAACCCAGTGTCCCAAATTCGATTGTGTGATGCATTTCCATTTAAATTGAATGCGACTGGCACCCAAAAGCGGTCATAATTAAAGGCAAGTGCTAATGGTGTCGGCCATCATTTGGCCCCTGGCTCAGTATCTGTATCTGCATCTGCCTTACCAAACTAAGCAATGTGTTAACTTTCACATTTGCCGAGGCAATAAAAGGCATTGCAACGGTGTCTTCCTTTTGGGCGTGTTCGATTTAACGACTTGTTTAAACACAGAACTCACAGAACGCCTTCAAATAAACCCAAAAAGAGTAGAAACTCATAAAGAATGCAGAACGAAGTATTTTCCAAGCCTACCTAACCATATATCGGTCATCATACACACATGTATGCTATAGCTATGGGTACCATAAGTACCCACCAATCATCTAGTCCATAACCGGCGAGGAGGCCCACAAGTCCATTGTTTAATGGGCTTTCAATAAACAGACTCCAGACTCCAGCTCCGTCTCTGACTGATTTGGCCTAGTCAAAACGATAGGCGACAATAGTCAGCTCGTTGACCCACATTCGACCTAGTGCCTCCGACTCTCCCAGTGTCCCTCCGTCCCAGCTATCTATCCATCCAATACCTGCATTCAGAATTCTTGGAATTTTCATTAACACATGTCCGAGAGGCCTCCGTCGAGCTGCATATGGAAATGTATCTGACAAAGAGGGAAATAAAGTTGAGAGCCAGAAAGAATTTGTGAATGGATGATGGCTGGTTGGGCGATGGGTGCTGAATGCTGGGTAATGGAGGCTGTTAGCCGGAGAACCCATGGTGTTTTAAAGATAGATTCCCCGCCAGGCTTTCTCACCTATTTATTGATTATTACACACAGTCACAAATCGGTTACACTAACAAGCCCATCGCACCACAGAAATAGCGAGAAAATCAAACTGAAAAAAAGCTGCCTAATGGACTCGAGTTTGATGAACTTCGGCGGTTCAGAAGTGTAAGGTAAAGTTTCCCAGCATGCCCTCGTAATTGAATTGTTCCATTATAAATCCCATGTATGAGGTGGCAGCCGCCGCATGACTCAACAGATACAGATAGCGATACATTTGTATCTCGTTCTAAAACCCCGCCGACTGCCGACCGCCGACAGAACCGTCGACAGCGGCCGGCAATAAATCAATACTCTAAGCGACTAGCGCGAAAAAACGTATCTTTGAGATACTTCACAACAAGTGGCATTTGCGTCATAACAATAGCAGCAAATCGACCGATCGATGAGTCGATCGATGGATCCACCGATCTATGCCAATTGTTTGTCATCGCCATCGAGATGGAGATATCTCTGAAACATTTTCAAGAGTTTTTCGTGTTGGCATCGTGTGCAGTTTCACTGACCATCAACTCCAGTCCCAAGGTCGGTTCCGAATTCAAATTCGGACAATCAGTAGCTGCCACACATTATCACTATTTTATAAGACACACTGTGATTTGCTCGATGGGGCGTATTCGATAATCAGCTTGTGAAGTAACGATTCTACGATTTTTTCTCATGCTTATTAAAGAATCTTGAAGCTCGATTATAAATAAAATTTTGGGTTGGTAAAGCCAATGCCATTTGGGAAGAAAATCCTTAATTTCTGCAGAAGAATCTTAATTATTTTCAAATGCTGGAAGGTTCTTGGGCAATTGACACCTACATGGTCACTGAACCTAGTCCGTCTATGTAGTATCTCCCGTCCCATTTCCCAGCTATCCGATTTCGATTACCTTTACGGCTCCAAGTCCGAGTCCCATTGACGAGTTTTTTGTGATTTCTTAATTTATAACCAATTACAAAGGCATTAGTGCCCGGGCACGAAGATCTTCAATATTTTTGTTTATTGCGCATATAAATCGCCGCTTTACGGGCCCCGTAATCTTTATGGCAGTTTTGCGGAAGCATCCAGCGAGCTTCAATTTTCAAGCTTGAAGCTTGAAGCTTGGATGTGCCTAATTAGCTTGTATTAGCCAGGCAGTATCGATGGCCTGTGCGTGCCAGCAGAACTTTTAGCCACGATAGACTTTTTTAGACGGGACGGAGGCTCCAGGTAACTTAAGTAACAGGTACACATCATTATGGTTTGATATTAATTGCACGACGTAGCTGATGTCATCAACGGCAGCGTCATCATCCCTGGCCTGGCCCAGGGCCAAGAAGATGATGCTGGATGTTGGACGTTAGTCGGAGGCTAGAAGTTGCTTACTGGCGAAGCGTTAATCAAGATTCCCCCGCTCCAGTCATCAGCTTAGAGCCACGCGCATATAATTAACATTTCTGCCACGGACCACGAACCCCCTGGTCCCCAGACCCCTCGGTTCTCAGGTTCAATGTCAAGTGGCAAGGCGGATTTGGCTTATCGCGTGGCTAGCTGCTCACCAACGGTATCCATAGCTTCCTGATCCCTCCTTAAATATTTCATATATGCAAACACACATGGAGAGTGGTCAGTGTGCTGTGTTTGCCCAACAAACAAACTGGGCAAAAGCCAAAGCCAAAAAGCACTGACCATTGACCGATATGGCGATGGAGATGGCGATGGTGATGCGTGGCTTTGGAATTTCATAGCCACTTAGAGAACAAGTACTCGAGCCGAAGATCACGAACTGGCAGCCCGCAGAACGGGTTGCGGAGTCGCCATAACCCATCCGCGACCCGAGACGCGACGTGAGATTCGCCAGCCTATTGGGGCGGAGAAACTTTCGTCAGTGACACAATTAGAAGTTGCCGCCCCAAACTCCCATTGACTTTTGGCCATAAATAAGCATTTATGCTTAGCTAAGCAGCTCGACAACTTTCCTTTCATTATTTTCCCGCCGAGATTCATTTTTGTCTGAAGATTCTGTTTGTTTATGTTTCGGCCCACCAACGTCGGTCGCCTCCCCCAGAGTCGTTCATCAATTTGTCAAAATTTTGGATGAATCTAAGCTGTGACAGAAGCTGTACACTAGAGAAAAATAGTAGTCGATATGATATTGTATATAGTACCATTATAGTTAATAATCAGGCCTAAGACTAAAGTCCCTTAAAAACTACCACTACCTAAAGCTGAAGAATTACTGATTCAAATATATTCAGTTTATAATTGAAACAATTTCCCCGAGTGTAAGCTCTTCTCAGGTCTGTCTCCCAGTTGATATGATAAATTGACCATGGACTCGAGACACTCATAAAAGACACATTTGTTCGGCTTAAATGCCCGAACACGGAGCCACTTAGTTTGCGCTGATCCGACCCACGCAACTTGGCTCGAAAGCATCTCGGCTCTGTGAGGGGGCGAGGGCAACGACCCAGTACCCCGGGTCGGATACCGCCAAAGGGCCAGCCACTTTGAGTTCCGAGAGTCGGTGCACTTGATTCTCCAATTAAATGGCCAGAAGAAGAGCAAGACGAGGAAGCGTGTGAACCGGAGGCTTTGGAGGCGGAAGAAACCGTGGCGAGGAAACGGAGGCAGGCAGCTGGCTGTTCTTTTGATTTTATCAGCTTTAAATTCCCCACTTCCTGCGACAAGGTCTCGGATAGATTGGTGGAGCACTGGGGGATTGGACTGGGCTAATTTCATTTAAGTAAATAAGCTTGCGGTTATCTGCCGGCAATTGTGTGTGTAACGGTAACATCGAAAGCCCAAAAGTCGTTACAATTGCAATTACACAATTTGGCTATTAACGCCTTCACGGCAGCTATAGCGGCTGCGGCAGCGGCCACGTCCCCTTTCACCTTGACAATGAAATGGTTTCCAATGATTGCTGTAATTTTTCTTTGGGCTTTTCTCGAGCCATCTCGGTAGAAACCCACTAGCAGTTGGAAATGCAAATGAATATCATCTTGTTTAGTAGAGCAAAACACCGGCTGGCAAGGTAATACAATATGTATACAAGCAGCGATTTCTCAGGCCGATAGATATACAGACACCTCTACCATACCATATCTTGTGGGGCTTGTTTTCTGTTTTTGTGTGTGCTGCTGGATGCCATAATCATAGCTCATATTATGTATGCTAGTCCGTTGGCATTTCCCTATTATTGTTTGATGTCATTGAACTTGAACTTGTCGTGGCCAGTCGGGGGCTATTTCTGTTTTGGCATTTTATGCAGTTTCTCGCCGTGAATATGCTAATTTGGATTTGTATAACACGTCGCCGGTTTCCACTTGCCGCTTGCCGGTCCAAAAACGTGTTCGAAATGTTAATAAAACGTCTAAACGCTGTTGGCTTTTATTCATATTTATGGCAATTAGCAGCCGCCCTGACCCAATTTGCCATTTTCTGTCTCTGCTGCTAATTGCCGTTTATGACGTGTTGGGGGATTCTGGAACCGGACGATCCCGGACAGGCCAGGACGGAACCGGACCCTAGAATTGCATTCCCAGCAATTGGCCATGCACTTCAGCTCCCAATTAGACATTCAGCCTGGCGCCAGCTGCTAATCGCTGTCTAAGAAACGCCAGCACGCTAACAAGCCCAAAGACAAGACAATCATGTTGATGTAATGGTGATGGAGCTTGGACTTGGACTTGGACTTGAACTGGGAGCTGGTGTTCTGAGGACGTGGTATAGTTTTTGGTTCGCTGGGCAACAAGAAGTCCAGTATTATGGTCGGTAATTCTCTGTAATAATCTTTCATAAAAGTTTCCTGTGGTGTTTCCCAGAAAAATATCACAAATTAAATCCCTGCTAAATTTCATAAACTGCCAGA